ATGACAGCAGAAGAAAGAAGAACTAAATTTACACAAATGATGGAAGTTGCACTTTCACTTGCTAAATAAATAAGTAATTGCAATAAATCAAATTAATTTCTTTTTTCATTATTTAAGAAATTTATATAATTTTTTATTATAAAAAATATGAATATATTAATTAAAATAAAAAAAATAAGTAAGAATGTTCATTTTAATTATAAGTTAGTTGTGAAAAATCAACTTCTCCAGGTTTTATATTATGTTTATGATTTGTTAATTCTTCGAAATTAACTAATGCATCACTTTGATATGTTTCATTTTCAGTAAATTTATGTTCTTTTTCTTTTTCTTTTTTTTCTAATTTTTTGTTTAAATATTGTTGTTCTTTGTAATCCTTAATATAAAAACTTGACGAAATACTACATATCATTAATGATACAATTGTTGTAGTGTGAAGTATTGAAAAAACTGTATAACGGTATGAATGGCATTTAAAACTAGAAACAGGAGATTGCCATTGAGTTGTTCTTAATGTTTCACAGAAATGTCTTCCTTCAATTTCTTCATGAATAAAAAAGAATTCACAATATAGTGAATACATTGTATTGAGAATACAACAAAGCATTACCTTAATGTTATTTATATTATCTACTATTGATAGAATTTATAAAAAATCATAAAACAAACAATAATACACATTGAGGATATCTTCTTTATAATAACACAATAAATAATCAACCCACTCACTACCATACATAATAAACAACTAATACTTAATTTAATAATTATTGATAAACTCATTGGACAACTATATTGATACTCTGTACCAAGAGAATATGAAAAAGTATATTTATTTTTAAATGGATTGCTTGAACATGTTATTGTGTTGTGATAACCATTGAGTAACTAGTATAGTTATTACTCATTGTATCAATAAAATAATTATAACAAACATTTCTTGCTGAAAAACGATCATATTCATTAGGTATATTATCAAATATAAATGTAAATGTAGTTAATATAGATAAACAAAAAGTGATTAAAACTAATATAATAAAGAAGGTTTGATACAATGAACATCCCATTTTTGATTTTACAACTAATAAATAAACATTTTAAGATTTTTTCTTTTTTCAAAAATCAAAAAAATGTTATTCAAAAAAAAAAGTGATATTAGAAATAACAAAAACGAAATTGAGACTTTAC